TGGATCACATTTTAACCTGTCACCTATGTACATGTGCATGTTTCATCCTGTATTGTTGGTTCGTTATACATTTTTCACAGCAATTTACTTTATGTCATTCAAATATATGACACAATCGACAAAAGTGCATTACTTTGTTGGGCTATTATTTACTGCTGTATCAGGCTTATTATCTCATAGGAGGCAAACAAAATCTTTTAAGTTTTTTAGGCAAGCTAAGCTGAAAGCTCAAGTGAGCTTTTCTGATCACATATTATCCTGCATCAATCTGTTCGTCTGTACATTTCTCCGAAAACATTTATTTTTGACTTTATCAGAAGTACTGGGACATATTTCGACCAAACTTGCCACAAATAATTAAGAATGTGAGAAAAATTAGTGAAATTTGCTAGTAACAATAAAAAATCACTTCTCAGGAATCATATGCATTGAACCAGAATAGCTGTCATATGACAGCTTCCTGAAAATTGATTCAAATTTATTCAAACCTTGTCCTCCGAGAGTAGGGCGAGGTCACAACTGGAAGTTTAACATTGAAATATATATAATATATGAGGGGTAATAAAAAAATTTGCGAAGTAATTGATTGTTTGCATGTTGTTTTACGTTCCATTCGAGAATTTTTCAGTCAAATAGAGACGTCACCATATACCGGTGAAGGGCTTCAAATTTAGACCTTTACTTGGCACTCTGGGCCATTGAGCAGTGAGGGATCTTTATCGTAACAACGCCTACCGTGACACGGAACTTCGGTTTTAAGGTGAAATACGGAGATAACGAACGGTATTCAAGCTCAAAGTCAATTAAAACAATACAAATCGGGAGCAGAGCAAACACGTACCTCCAAAAAAAGGAGGTGGGATCAGGTGCCATGGAGGAGTGAGCATCCCCTGTTGACCGGTCACACCCGCCGTGTGCTCCTTGTCATGATCGGTAAATAACGGAAAAAAATCCGTTGACAATTCAGTGTGTAAATAATGGCCTAGCAAACGTCAGTTAGCATATGACTTAATGACAGATTGTATTTGCTGACAGGGTCATTGTATCGACCATAGAACTTACGATATGACGACTGTAAACGAGACTGCTGGTATTCTTGTTTCATCAACTTGTTTGTCAATAACTTACCTCGTTTTAGAAATTGTTCATACGTAGAGCATGCTACTGTGTATCGAATCAACTGAGAGATACACACCCCATAATTATGCAGGTGATAAGGGTATATTGCTGCATAAGTAAGGGAAGTTGACGATTGAAAAATTAAAGTCATCATTTATCATAAAACTTTGTTGTTAGATTATCATTAACGTCTTTTTCCAGAAAAAATATCCAAATATGAAACAGATGTGTCAGACTCTGTGGTATCTTTTATCTCAAGCTCGCCGGGATTTATCGTGTCGACATAATAATGGAAATAACCATTGTTAATTGACAATACGTAGTCGATTTATCTAAATGTCGAGGCCACAGCAAGTGTTTTCTTCTTTTCACGTAAACGATTTTGAACAAATTCTGCTTCATATCAATTCAAAAATAGGTCTGCTAATAACGGGGCGCAATTGGTACCCATGGGAATTCCAATAGATTGTTTGAAGACCTGGTCTCCAAAAACCACTTATATATTGTCAATCAGAAACTCGAGCATCTTTTTAATGTCAACTTCAGAGTACTTTTGTGAACAATCAGACTGTTTTTTAACAAAGTAATTTTGCAAATGACCAATGACAAGTAAGTAAATTTACAAGTTCCATCTTTATTGAAAAAGCAGCTGTCAACGATGTCAGAAAGTCTGGAATTTAATTTATCGTGGGGAATAGTTGTATATAAAGTTGAAAAGTCGTAAGTTTTTATGTTGTTGATTTGGTAAAAGGACAAGATAGGCTAAAACCCCTTTTTGGCCCCCGGTTTGGGGTGTCTTTTAAAACGATGCAACAGTTTATCAATAAAAACCTGTTGTTACCCCTGCCACAAAATGAGTATTGGTTCTAAGTTATGGGATACACAGAGGTCACAGGAAGGTCAGATAATATGTCAATTTTCGAATTTTTATGCAAATTTTCATCGATTGTACAGCACATTTTGTTTCAGAAAACATAGAGCACAAGCTTGCCTATCTACGAAATTTAAATATTTCATACACTAGTATCAGATGCATCATACGTATAAAAATCTCAGATAGGCAAGCTTGTGCTCTATGTTTCCCGAAGTGAAAAGTATCTCAAATTTGATGGAATTCCACCAGAATTGAGGAAATTCGGGAAAATGTCCTACTTCTGCACCCTCCTGTAACCTCCATGTAAGTTTTGAATGAAAATTAGTGCTGTTTTTAAAACAAGCATCATTTTAAGTTCTTAACTACAAACTAACACGATTTTAATTGTGTTCTGATTTTTATATCAAATAAGGGGCCAGATTCAGCCATTACCATACCTTGTCCTTTGTGATTTCAAATGTCCCGAAAGTTCTTTGGAATTTTTTAGTATCCACATCTGATTTACACCACTTCTCGAATATATTGTTGTACAGTACTCTTGAAGTTTCTCCTTCACTACTGTTAATATCTTAGTGAGGAGTAAAGAAAGAGGCTTGGTAGAACATTTACTGGAACCCGCTATGTATCTTTGTTTGTAAGGATTTTTATGAAGTTTCTGAATCCAATATAGATATTGTAATTCAAATTCATTTTGGTTGTTGGGAATATTAAAAATATTCAAGTGACCGAGATCAAAACTAAAGTTATACGAGATCTCTGCCTCTGTTTATTTTAATTTTAGTTTTGCTCTCAGTCACTTCTGGTTTTTATGCTCATGTTAGTCTTGTTGTGCCTGTGTCTCTCGTACGAAAGAATGGCGCATATCAGACATGTAAGTCCAGCATATGCTCATGTGGTCTTGACAGTGATAACAAGAATACGTGAAAGTTACACCATATACAAGATATTTGACTTTAAATTAACTCGAATTTTCACTATGCTTAGCTGATCTTTGAGGAAAAAACTGCATTTGTTATGAAACTGGTGTATAGTTCTTCATGTCCGTAGGAATACTGTCACCAGTCTTGCGTCACTAGCAAACAGTACACTCACCTGTGCTTGCAAGATCAAATACCCTAGGTCTACACAACTGCGATCAGAAATCATAACCATTTCGTCATTAAAAAAACCACACACATCTACACACACACACCCTAACACACACACACACACACAATAAATGATTAAATTTCTCTCTCAGAAGAAATTGTATCATAATTAACTAGTAACAATAATCATAAAAGTAATATAATTGGTGAAAAGATTGTCAATCGAAGAATGACCTATATATTTTCGTGAAAAAGACTGAGGAGGCAGCTAGCGTAGGAATACAAATACTTTTAATTTACATCTTTGGGGAAAAGGTAATTTTCTTGAAATCATTTTATTTTTGATTTTATTCTCTTCCTTGTATTACATGCATATCGATATTCTAAGCATTTGTTGTAATGTTGTATCTGCTGATCATAAATCAAACTATATTTTTTCAGAGCAATTCTGTGGAGTACCTGACTTTACTGATACGTCATGAATAGATAGTATGCACCGATCGAATATTAAAAATAACGCACCACGCGACCTTTTATACAAAAGGTAGGTAACTCTAAATTTTTTACTTAATAATCAAAATTTTATTAGAACAGGTAGGACTTGTTTATTAGCTACCTGTTTAGAAAGATGTAAAAACAAATAATAGCAAAAATAAGTTGATAAAAAGGTGACCAGAACAGTTTGAAAGTTAATTCTCTGTTACCAAGAAAACTTGGTTCGGATCCTAGCATGTTGATAATGAGACATCGTAAATGCGCTGGATCTTGTTTTTGTAAATCTTTTAATTAAATAACAAACACGCTAGAATTTGCCAAAATTACATTTATTATGCGGAAAAAATAACTTGTATGGAGATATCCACTCATATTGATCATAGCTGATTGACAATCATGAACAAAATTGTTAATGTGTCAATCAGTAACAAAATTGTTCACTTGGCAATCAGTAACAAATTGTTAATTAGGCAAGCATTAACAAAATTGTAAATCTGGCAATCCTTGCCAGGGTTAAGATTCATGTAAAGTCAAATCTGAACTAAGTGAATGAATCTTCAGAGAACAATACCATGCAAATGAAAAGCGTATGCATTTACATGAGTTATCATTACCATTTTGGTTATAAACATTTCTGCAAAAGACAAAACCTACAGTACATTAGAGTGCTTTATTGTGAATGTGAAAGTAGAAAATGTTTCGGGAAAAAGAGTATAACATATTGCTTTTAATACACGGATTCTTGAAATAATCATGAATAAGGGTGCACAGATACGGTATTTAGTTTATTCAGTGGTCTTCTGATGTCCACCTATACTTACAGAACTGGATGAGGATTGCTAATTCCAATCTCTCTCTGCATCTTTAGACCATGACGACCTTGTTTATTAAGCACAGTTCTTTCTCTCTCTTAAAAGTGAGGTGCAAGTCAGGTAGTTTTAACACAATTAACTGATTAAGTAATCAGAAAGTAGGTGTCAAAACCAAAATGCAATAAAAGAAACCCCATTGCGACCGCAGAATTTGATGGTGTAGCTCGTTTAACAATGTCGCACACAAATTTAACCATGGCGGGCTGCAAGGTTAAACACTTTGTGGGGAACCCCGAGTTTTAGGAATTCAGTATAGGTATGGTAATTCAAATTCAGTTTGATGTTAGGAATACCAAAAATATTTAAAACTGACGGATGATTTTGAAGATTTTTTTTCCCTTAGAAATAGAACTATGAGTATAAGTTTGATTACCATCTGCATATTTAAATCCAAATTTCAATAATGTTATTAAATCCACACTAACTTTGTATTTCCGGGTTTATCAGCGACATATATAATACAAAGCAAAATAATACAATTTAATCTGATCAGAATTAAATTATCATGACTTGCGGATATCTGGAAATTATTACAATATTAAGAGAGCCATAATGGACATATCTAAATTTGTACTACTTCTGTCCTTCCTCATTATTGGTTCTAAAGGTACACAATTTTATCGCTTACATTTTTGGTTTACCAGTAATTATACATACTCTGCTGTATTCATAACATTTTTTTTTCTCTTACCAAGACTTTGAAGAAATTTTGTATTGTCTGAGATGTGGATTAAATCATGTAAAATTTTATCAAAATAAATTATAAAGTCGTTGCTAACTTGTTCTTTAGATTAATACTATATTTTGATTCAATATAATATAATGTATATCTGATTTTCAGAAGTGTGTTCACTTGTCGGATATATAGTAGAACAAAGCTCTGCTGCCTATCCCTTTACCAGAGCTCACAGTCCCATTGATGATGACAATACAACATGTGCTGTGACAAAAAAGCGTGTGGGAGAGTACTGGAGGATACAGTTTAACCAGTCCCTGACTATTGCCGGTGTCTATCTTCGGTTGAAAGGCGGTAAGAAATATATTCTTTGTATCAAATTCTTAATTTATCTACGCCGATTTATGTATCGATATATTAAATTCTTTCAGGTAAATACAAAATAACTGTACAAAGTGCTTCAGATCCTTTAAGTCGACGTGTTTTGCTTATAAACAACTGGCCTTTCAATGGTTGTTATTCATCTTCAATGCCAATTGTATCCCCTATTGTTTACAAGGGGATGTCATCGTCGTTAATAAAACAAATCTAGGACAATTGACACTGCGTGACTCTAAACTTATAGGTACTGTTCCTTCCTTCTATTCATTCCTTGTAAAAGTCGCCCGCGTGTTGCAGTAGTTAGAGCGTCTGCTCTAGAGTCGTGAAGTAAGGAACTGATCCTTACGTTGGGGGTTCGAATCCACTGCGTCGAAGTAGGTGTTGGCACGAAAAAGATCCCTCACTGCTCAACAGCCCTGAGTGTCGAGCATAGGTATAAATTTGCAGCCCTCCACCGGCAAGTGGTGGTGTCTCCATATGAGTGAAAATTCTCGATAGGGACATTAAACAACAAACAAGCAAACGCTCTTTGTATATTTAATATATTGATGATAAACTTTCTATATAAAAACAAAATTAATTTTTGGTTTAACTTCAAGTGCATTCAAACGAAGCAGCATCCTTGCTACTGTTTTATGTCTTGCATGCATTTGGTTTCATATAATACATTGTAGAATTATCATAATTATGTGATATCATGTATTTTTACATTTTCAACAGTGGAATACTATAATTTATTTCTTGAAATAAAAATACTATTTTGTCACAGAAAGAATATCAGTTCTAAGTGCGACAAAACTCTCAGTTTCTCTTCCTTTCACGAATAGTATTGTAAAAATAATCCGGGAATTGTTATAAGAAATGCAGAGAGTAAATAAACCATCCTGACTAAAACTGCGAGTTTCTCCAGATATGTCCTTGAAATCCATGTTTACAATTTTTAATCTCAAAACCCTTCATCCTCAAAACTCAGGGGTCGTGTGTCCTCTCGTTGCTGTCGGACTCTTGACAAATTTCATTCGATAATTTATGGGATTGTTTCTCTCATTGAGAAGCACCAATCAGATCGGGGTTTTCATGAGTTGACATCAAACGCAAACAGAATGTAATTAGTTGAAACCAATGTTATTGGTTGAGGGATAGGGAAAACAATCAAGATTTGAAATTTTCACGAAAACCGACGCTGCAGTCAGTCTGTAAAATATCCAATGAAATTTGTCAGGGGTCCAACGGCCATGAGTGGACTCAGGACCCTCGACGTTGTGAAGATGACAGTCCATAAGCTATATGACGTCTCAACCCCTCAACTATGACATTACAGTCTATGTAACTTCTTACGGAAAGACAATGGCATAAAGAAAATTGAAGAAAAAGAACAAAACAGACAATTCTATATTTTGTTTGGCTGGATATGGAATTAATTTACTCCATTAATGTGATTTTTAGACATTCTCACTCGTGCTTTGCACTCGTAAAAATATGAAAAAAATACTGATTTACTCGTGCTTTAAACACGATAACAATTAATTTATTTGCGTGACATGTAATGTGCATTTTACACTCCTGGATATGACGTCAAAATAGTGATGTCATCATTATGTATTTTGTATTGTGTTTTGTTGCCATGGAAATAAGTGAGTCAGTTTTAAATAAAGTTTGTATTGTACAGATGTGTTTATCTATCTCTAATTTCATTTTTGGTGCTGTGATCACACCGTGACTAAAAAAATAAGAAATGGGACTACGTAAGCTAAAAGCCACTAGGATAGGAAACAGAAGTGCTGTTACCAGAAAACTAAAAAAAAAAAAAAAAAAAAAAAAAAAATACGAAGGATTTGAAGAATTTTTCAGGGAAGATCTTTTGTCAATTTATGAATATTTGAAGAAGAAAAGAAATTTAATGGATAATCTGCACGAACAAATATTGAATCAAAATACAGAGGAGGGGGAGATTGAGAATGAAAGTTTTGAGACAGATGAGTATTACACCGAGTTAGACATTAGACTGAGACATTTTAAAGAATTCATCGAAAAAAAGTGGAGAAAGCAGTCAAATGATGAAAGTGCTGAATTAAATCCTCATAAAATAAATCAAACTTCAATATACATCAATTCATAGCTATGCAGTTCCAGCTGTACATAAGCATTTCCCTGTGTAAATGCTGTCAAGTATAGTTTATTTGCTGCTTCCAACCACAAACTACCTAATTTATCTTTACCACCGTTCAATTGAAACAAATTAGAATGGCAAGCATATTGGGATTCGTTTAATTCTTGGATTCCTGAATATATTAATTTGAGTGATGTTCAGAAGTTCAGAAATTACTGCCAAAATCCATACGCATCAAATACCAATCAGTGCCTCTCTTACCTAATGTAAAAGGTGAAGATAACTAACCGATCTCAAAATATCTATAAACAATACAAAAATATGAAAGGGGTATAAAACCCTGGAAACTCCAGAGGTGGGACCAGGTGCCTAGTAGAAGTAAGCATCCCCTGTTGACCGGTCACACCCGCTGTGAGCCCTGGGTATTTATCAGGTAGATGGAACATTCCGTAGTCAAATTCACCACGAAAACGATGGTAGAACAACTAGTATGAAACAAGTCAGCCAAAATTATGACTGATATGTTATATTTACCAACAAGGTCATTATTACGACCATAGAATTTACGAAATGCCTAAACATTTGAAGTATAAGCACACTCCTATGAAGGATAAACATTTGATGTTTCTTTACTATTCGGCGTTGATCACTATTGAGACATTGTTGGAAATAACATCATACCGGGACCTGGACCAACTGCTGAAAGCTCTTAAATAGGTTATGTACTATCAGGACCAACACGCTCAAGTGCAAAACACAATCAGTTGCTAATTGAGGATCAGAAATTTGTATAATCTTTGAGAATGGTCAATTCACAGCAAAGTTACCATGGAAAGAATAAGTCTGCGATATACCTTCAAATGAAACAATTGCATTGGAACGCACAAAGAAGGTAATTCTCTCTTTATCTCAAAATTCAGATATAATTAAAGACGTACGATTGTATTATTAAGGAACAGGAAATTTGTGAAATTACTGAGAAAATAGAGCAAGAGGACACACCCAAACAGCAAATACATTACATTTCTCACCATCCAGTTAAAGTTGAACAACATAATATTGCGCCTTACAGCAGCTGAAAAAGGAGTACTTGACAGTCACAACATTGTAAAAATTCTACGATTGAGATTGGATCTAAAAACTGCATTTCCTTTACAAGACTTGACTTAGACATCAATAGGAAATTTGCAAGAAAAAGAGAGTTCTCAGCCAATCATCCAAGACTTTGTGACCCACTAGGAATTTTGAGTCCTGTCACTATTAGAGCCAAACTACTAATGCAGGATATCTGACAAGAAAATGTTGCCTGGGATAAAAACGTTCAAAAATTACCAGGAAAATGGTGTGAGCTTGCTGAGGAACGTGCTGAATTAACATCTGCCACAATACTAAGGTTTCTATATGAACACTGAGCCGCAGAGTGTATGGTTCTTAATCTATATATATTCTCAAATGCTAGCAAAATATGCCTGTGCATACCCTGTGACAGAAAATATCTCACATTTAATAATGGCAAAAACAGAGTCGCATCTAATAATCCTACAACCTTATCTTGTCGAGCAGTAATTGGACTCAGATAAGCCAAGTACTTAAACAGCATACTGAACGTAAAGTCGACAACCTTATCGTGTGACAGTCAAATTGTCCTTCATTGCCTTCAATCGAAAAAGTCAATGATTCAATTTATAGAAAAGCAGTGATTGAAGAATAAACAAAAGGACATACATGGAAATACATTCCAACTAACTCCAATCCCACAGATCTTCAAATGAGGGAAATTGCATACAAACAATTTAATGATACCATTCTTTGGAATGAATGGTCCTACATGGTTAACAGAACCATCCTCATATCCTCGGTTGGAAATATCAAGGGATTCAGCTTGAACAAGAAATACAGTCAACAAAAATCGGGAGGTTGTGTCGAAGAACATGATAAACTTATCATGATTCCGAAATCTACAAAAACTTCTCAAGGTTACATGTTATGTTTTGAGATTCATAAAAGTCTACAAATCTTCCAGGGAATGCAAGAGTCAACAAAGACAGAGATCTGTTTTATCTGTTAATTGGTCTCAAGTAGTAAAATAAATCAAATCAACAGGACTCTGGTTTAAAGATGTACAAGATACGAATTCCAAAAAGAGATTACTGCCATGAATGAAAAAAAAAAAAACAAACAACAAACATCACTACAGAAACAGCTGAAAATGTATCGAGATGAAAAAGGGCTATCACGCTGTAAAGGTAGAATTGACCATTCCTCTTTCAGCAAAATATCTTGTACTGTTACCAAAGAATCACAGATTCACTGATCTGATAATAGAGACCTTTAGCCACTCGAATACTCCGTACGTGTAACCTTGAGAAGTTTTTGTAGATTTCGGAATCGTGATAAGTTTATCATGTTCTTCGACACAACCTCCCGATTTTTGTTGACTGTATTTCTTGTTCAAGCTGAATCCCTTGATATTTCCAACCGAGGATATGAGGATGGTTCTGTTAACCATGTAGGACCATTCATTCCAAAGAATGGTATCATTAAATTGTTTGTATGCAATTTCCCTCATTTGAAGATCTGTGGGATTGGAGTTAGTTGGAATGTATTTCCATGTATGTCCTTTTGTTTATTCTTCAATCACTGCTTTTCTATAAATTGAATCATTGACTTTTTCGATTGAAGGCAATGAAGGACAATTTGACTGTCACACGATAAGGTTGTCGACTTTACGTTCAGTATGCTGTTTAAGTACTTGGCTTATCTGAGTCCAATTACTGCTCGACAAGATAAGGTTGTAGGATTATTAGATGCGACTCTGTTTTTGCCATTATTAAATGTGAGATATTTTCTGTCACAGGGTATG